ATACATACATACATACATACATGCATACATACATACATACATACATACATACATACATACATACATACATAGTATATATATATATAAGTATATGAGAAGTGAACATGATCTAACAACGTCTATATCGGCCAATTTATGTTTTTGTTCAATAGGAAGGGCTAGCATCGTGATCGGGCCGTCATAGATATCACGTGTTGAACGCATCTAGTAACTTGCACGGTGCACACACATTGCCTAGCATCATAGAAGACATTGGATATCCAGAAAAATCAAAAGAACCTCCCTACCCAGACCAAGACACATATTAAACACATACCTCCGTTGCGCCTTACTCCTCTCCCGCTCGCATCTTAGATTGTAAAAACTGTCCGCCACGGTTTGTCGCATACTCTTCACAATAGCCAAATAAAGAGGTGGCAACTTGTCGACATCGCCCCCACTCTGATACAGTATCCCTATGAGCCCAGACGCTCCAGTCTCGCTTAAATCCAACGTGACAATATCTAACAGATCGAAGAATATGCGGCGTCTGTATCCATGCTCGTCTTCGTGACGACCCTTGTGTGAACCGTGGTGTTTGTGTCGCTGGTGGAGTGTGGGGTGGGTCTTGGCCACGTGCGCATGAAGAGGCGATGCATCGGTCTGTGTGTGTACAATGCTGTGTTCAAAGATGAAACGGTATCAATATGAGGCACCACGTGATCGAAGTGTAACAATATGAGACACCACGTGATCAAAGTGTTACAATATGAGACACACGTGATCAAGTGTGCGTGCACAATGCTGTGTACAAGATGAAACGGTAGCAATATGAGGTAACACGTGATCGAAGCTCACGGAAACCCTAGACAAACAACCCCTACATGAACGTATCCATCATTGTCATAAATACTGCGCAATGTCTGCTGCGCAGCTGGAGACATTGCGCACAAAGAGAGATCCCAGCTACAATCCAGATGGTGAATGATGAAGAAGCTATACATACTACACAGTCTGATAACGCTAAACTCTGTTGTCCTCAACGACTCTGGTGTGAAGCAAATAATAGACACTATTTACAACTAGATACTGTTTAAAACTAGACACTATTTAGAATTAAAGACTACTTAGAACTAGACACTATTTAAAACTAGACACTATTTGTGGTTCTCTTCAAGAGTTGATACAATCTCACAACTGTCTCACTTGAAGATGATAAAGCTACAGATTCTTCACCCAGACGTCAACAGAACCTTTTCATCTACGTACGTGTACACCATCTCTCTAATCACAACCAACTCGCCCAATCAGGTGCACCATTGGTAAGCAGGCATTACTTACAGCACGGTTCTTCATCGAACTCTCGGAGTGGCATACCTACCTGTACCAATTCCTCAGACTCTCAGTGTATTCCACCTCCGCACTTGTCCTGACCACGCGCGCGAGGCATCCCGAAATACCGTTGTCGACGCGTTTCATCAGACGTTGCCGTGCTTTGCTGGTCACACACGTGGACCCGCATGCATCAGCGAAGCCCAGGAAGCAGTTGACTACGACTGAACGGGCTATAGGGGTAGACGGGCCGAATTGGGAGCAAAACGTCAGAACTATCGGGCCATTGAAGGGCCTAGAGAAATGATATCTTGATGGAAATTATGTGGTATCAACCATTGTGTTCCACGCTATATGGATACACGCCGATGAATGTAGAGTGTAAGCATGATTCGACAACGATGCAATATTTGTGTTACATAATATACTGTATCAATAGCAACATATCACAACTACGTGCATACCCCTCTACTGTAAATGTGCGTGGGGGAGTCACGCGTACTCGGGCAGTCTGGTAGGTAGGCCCCACGAATATAACAAAGAGGATGTCAATGAGCAAGAAGACACCGGCCCACTACCCAACGAACTGAGCAGATTCCCACCTACCCGCGTTCTCATTGCGTTCGAAGAATGGCATACTTAGGATCTTCCGGTAAGTCAGATACAGAGTCACACACTCATGACATCGGTGCGCTATGAGATGCCCATCGTGCACACACGTCCCGATATTCTGCATAAAGTACCGAACATCCTGGCTGGCCCACATGTGCAGCAACCGGATCTTCATGAACAGCTCCCTCTCATGATTGTACTCCAGCGTGCGCGAGAGATGCTTGCGCTGTATGCTAGTGTTGACTCTGGCTGTGCTACCAGCGTGTGCAGCATCCTCAACTGTCGCCTCCACCACATTGTTAGTGTTGCTCCCGACCCCGTCCGTGTGTGACGAGACACACGACTCTGTTCGTATCTGTGCGCTCGATCGTGTGTATTGTTGTGTGTGTGTCGTCATGGGTGCGTGCGTGCTATGCTTTTGAGTGGACACATCGCCGCCGTAATCCTGTGAGCATGCATGTGTGTTGTGGTTGAGATTGTGTGTGTGTGTATTGTGATTCCGATTCTGCGTGTGTGCGCTATAATTCTGAGTGTGTGTCTGGATTATGTCTGCCTCGACATCTTGTTCAAGGCTCGGCGGTAATTGGGCCAGAATTGGCGTCACCGTGCTAGATGTAGGGGTTGACGGAGGACTCGGAGTGGGAATAGTACTGGATAGGGCTAAGGTGCATCTACAACCACTATCCTTTCTATTGACAGACTTACGTGTCTCATCTCTCGTACTAGACTTCCGCGTGATCGGATGTCTCTGAGTATAGTCTCTCTCGCCCTCTGCGCCCGTGTAGGATGTGCGTCGACTATTGCGCTTCTGAGCCTTAGAGGCATCTTCTGCGTGCTTGGAGAGTGTATGTGAGCGCGGCATGGCTGTTGGGTCTAGTTATATATAACTTCTATTCAAATAGCTAACCTCTAAATTGACTAATTATGTAAAATGCAAAGTGGTAGTATTACATTGGTGGTGCAGCAGTGTACCGTGTCGCGTCAATTGGTACGAGTCATGAAGTTTCGCAAGCATCCAGTGCTTGTACGAATAATGTGTGGTTTACGAGAGGCTGTATATGCTATACATGTGTGGGGTATATACGTGACATGTGTGTACGTAGTGAGTGCATGGACAGTGTGCATGCAGATGGAAATGACTTGTTACCATCCAACTACCACATCAAATAACCCCACACGCCCCCCAACGATTCTGCTTCTTCGACCTCGAACACCTCGATGTGCACACCGTTACACGCAGTCTTCAGTATTAGGTTCTAACCGAGTCATACGCAAATATCAAACATATAGGATACTCTAGCTATCTCGACCATCCTTTGTACATATGCTCAATTAAGGCTATGCGAGTCTGTATATATTTTTTGTTTATGTATCTGTTATCCGGAGATGCTCCTTTTGATCTACAATACACTAAAATAGCTATGTTCGCTGTTATTATTACTAGAAACCTCGCTGGACGCTCCTGTGAAATTTTCAAATTGGACCCACTGAGAAGAAGTAGACTGCGCTACTGAGTACTGACTCCTCATATGTATGACGTCATTTCCACAGGAGGGGCAAAAATATTATATTCAAGCGACAAACGCAAAACGTATAAAGTTTTAATTTTTAAAACGTGCAGCAGAGAGGTGGGGTACAAATGCCTGACCTACTTTTAGATATAGAACAGGAATATAGAATATCTTAGATCCCATATACTGCACCTATAAGCTTGAGAAATACACCTGAATTACGCCCAAATGGACACTGAACGTCAACGTAAACTTCTATACGCTCAACGTAAAACGTAATGAGGTCAGTCTTCACTCTACTCTCACTCTCGACTCTCGACTCTCGTAGAACTTCAGAAGCCTCGAGTCCGCAATGAGTCCGCACAGCTAGTTACCATATATAGGGTTGGCATTTTTGGCGCCTAGTTCCAGAAAGGTATCCTGATAATTCCTTTTTCTTCTCAACAGATATGTACATATATGTATTTATATATATATATATATGTATTTATATATATACATATATGTATTTATATATATATATATATGTATTTATATATATACATATATGTATTTATATATATATATGCATGTATATATATATATATATGTATTTATATATATATGTGTGTGTGTGTGTGTGTGTAGGATAGAGTAGAATTGAACAAGAGGATTACATCTTTTCTAAACAACAAACATTTTCACTATCAGATGCTCAAGGATGCCAACATCGCCAATGACGAGTCGCTTGCGGTTGTCAAAGGATTAGAAGAGAAGGTGTTCGAAGTAGAAGAGATTGAGCAGATAGTGGGCTGGGCGGTTAATCAACGGCAGATCTCTGGCGAATCGGTGGTGATCCCAAACAGAGCACCCTTTCCTCCTGTGCAAGAGTGAGTATATATATATATATATATTAATACATATATAGATATAGATATATATATATGCTGGTTTGTTCTGGTCTTTTTGAACTTGTCGTCATGTGCATTCTTGTATAGAGAATTTGTTGCGTGAAAGAGCGGGTTGTGTGAAGTTCCTGTTGACATACACGCACAGTATGAATAGTGCCGAGTTCACCGTAGTCGTACACCAGCCTATACAAGGACAAAGCTACTTGCTTTGGAGATTTATTTGTAGTTAGGGTGTAGACATGCAGACACATATATAAGAATGCTTGATTTCGGTATAGTTGCTGATATGGGTGCTTGATTTCTTCCCGTCACTATTTCAGGCCTACACCGGCAAACGAAGGCGGGGATCATGACGCGCACAAAAACGACAACCAAGGCACATCTTCCGGAACACACACTGGCGAGAATGCCTCTCGTAAGCATAGTGACACAGACTCAGACACTCAGGGTGGAGCGGAGATAGAGACACTCGATTTGAAGGATTTATTGGGACGAGAAAAAGGCCCTGACGAAAACGCACAGAGTTATGATAGCAGTCGTAGTAGTGATGAGGATGAGAATAGGGATATCAATAGAAAACTACTGGCGGCTAAACGCAGAGAGCTCGTCAAGCTGGAGGGGTCTATGGCACGCCTACAACACAAGGCTGAAGACAGGCTTGAAATGCTCGAAGCGGAGTCTAAAGACAGTCTGGATGGTAAGTGAGTGCTGTGGTAGGTCGTCTGTTGCAGCGCGGAGGCATGTGGGTATTTTGAGTGTGTGTATATATGTGTATGTGTGTTGGCTGACGATAGGCTTTGAATTTCGCGGAGTTGAGTCCTGGGGAGTGTAGTTTTGGATGCATGGGTGCGCCTTTGTATATATATATACATATATATATATATACCAAAGAAAATCCTCAGAAGACTCATGGGAAGTGATAGTACAAAAACAGTCTAGATTGTGACTGGGCTTCCTATGTGCTTCATGGTGTGCGTAGACTTGTGCGAGATACACATGTGAGGATAAATTCTAAACCTAGAACACTATTTATGTGTGTGAGTGGAAGGTACATATACATGCGTACGAAAGTCTTGGATATGATAAATTCTAAACCTAGAACGCTATGCGAGTGTGTGAGTGGAAGGTACATATACATGCGTACGAAAGACATGGACTCACGGCGAACCTCCCATATTCTGTTATATACATGCTGGATTATAGTATATATTGTAAATATTCACCATGCATGAGTTCTGGTGGTGTCAAATCGATATATATATATACTTGTATGTGACTACGGCAATGGTCGGGAGCCGCTGGGCGTATGTGTGTAAGACGAGTGTGATGGCGGGATCCTTCCCAATAGCAGTCACAGATGGCATGTTAGAGTATAACATCGTTATGTAGAAGCGTGGACTGACATTGGTGTGTGCGTATGATCTGTGTGTTTCAATAAGTCCCCTCTGGGGATGTGTTGGGGCGTCTCTTGCTGCCATGTCATTCCGTGTCTAAGTAAAGCGTGCGGTGGTCACACAACAGTGTCTAAAGTAATTCGTTGATAGGGCTCTAATGCATATATATATGTGTGTGTGTGTATGTATGTTTCGAACACGGATTGAAATTTCCACGCACACGCACAAGCACGTATATGTAAGTACTGAAATACGTGTATCCATGGCCCCACTTGTGTAGACTCCCAAACTGAAGGCGAAACGCAGAACGCGTCGCCATCCCCAGCAGAGGAGTGGGGGAAGAATGCGAAGTCTGGATTCCAGAACGGCAGACAGCAAAGGGTGTGTGTGGGTTACACGCGTGTGTCTGTTTTGCTGTTCATGTATATGCATATATCAGACGACCTGTCAATTTTTAGTGGGCGTGGGTGTTCCGTGTATCTGCATACCCCCGTGTTATCCGGACCTTCGTTTTGGGGGTGTACGTATAACTAGGGCAGGCTGACGGTTACGTTTATGTTTGTGTGGTTTATTGTGAGGGGTATCTGACGTCGCTTCAATGTGCGATACATCTGATCACTGTGTCTTTGTGAGATGTGCTGGATCTCTGTGGACACATTGCGCACGCACCAATATGCTGTAGACATACCATGTGCTCCCTGGGACATAACTTTTCTGTAGACCTTCTGTTTATCAGAAGCGCTCATTCGGTTTATATAAACTCGAACGGATAGTTGAGATGGATTTTCACTATTCTTTTGTGTACGTATGGGCTTATACGTGTTTCAAACAACGCTTTACCACCGCTTCTCTCGTCTTCACTTGTTGATAAATAGTGACATATGTCGCTTCGTCTGAGGGTATGCCGTTGTGGGTTATAGATATAGAATAGTAGTTGTAGGGTCATAGTAATCGTGCGTTTACTTATATATGGGAACACTTTGTTTACCGTTTTCTTGCAGAGGGCGAAGAAGGCGAAGAAGACGGCTCCCAGGTTAGGTAGGTTCAAATCAAATACCTTGGCTTATACTCCTGCACGCATATTCTAGTAGTGAACTGTATCATACGTGTGTACACTTACGAATAGAATAACTATGTGAGCATGTGTGCGTAAGAAAAAGAATTAGAAGATTAAGGTTGTCAGCGCGTTGTCAAGTTGTATATGTGTCGTCCCTAGCTTGCGTCTTTGATAAGCACAAGTTGTGTATTTATATATAAAACATATATGGGTATTCATAGGTATCCTCAGAATTCATTTTTGTCAACAAACTTTGTGCATTCTTTAGAATAAGCAAATGTCTTAAGTAGCAAAGGCATATCATGTGTGTAATGGCTCATCTGCATCTCTGCGCTCGGCTTATGGAGGCCAAGTATGATTGATCTAGGTAGGAGTGTAGTGTGGTGTTGTCATGGAGACCATCGCATGGTGCTGCATGCTTGCTCTCCTACCTACCCCACGAACCGTCTTACATAGGCGCAATTGTGTGCTCATTCACCCATGGATATGCCACGGACCACATTACACTCATCTCCCTCTTTCTCCTGCACGACATTGCCATCAATATACGAAATGACACGTGTATTGTTTTCCTTCGTACCACTGCCCTATAGACCACCAACTGTTAGTGGGTGCGGCGGATCTGCAGTTTGCCATAGACACGTGGGTGGCCAGCAAGGACGCGGCACTGCTCAGCGGAATGAGTCACCGGTTACAGAACACGCGCTTCAGCAACGCCCACGCCGCGCACGACCCGTTCAACGGACTCAAGTTGGATACCATCGAGAAGAAGTTCAAGGCTAACAACCTGATCGCCGCGGGTATGTTGTTAGTAGTGGACAATTGACCAGACCTCTGTGTACGCACACACTGTCGATCATCGACACCTTCGACTACATGATGTAGTAGAAGTCCAGGGCTGACCCCACAATTGAATGGCATGCCCCATGCAGGATCGCTGGACGTTACCTTCGATAGTATCGGGTCGCTTACGTATCCCAAGAAGGTCCTCAAGGAGATCATCACACTGCCGCTGCAAATGCCTGCGCTCTTTGAGAAGGGAATCCTGAAGCAGGCAGTGTCTGGTGTGCTGCTGTTTGGTCCGCCTGGAACTGGTAAGGAAATAGATCGTATATCTGATGAGGTACCTATAAGCATATAGACGTATGTGTATATGTATTTTAGAATATATCATCTTCATGTATGTATGTATGTATGTATGTGTGTGTGTGTATATGTGTGTGTAAAAGTATGTGTTTAGTAAGTTCACATAAAACGCGAGTTCTGGCATATAAATATGCTTAGGTAATTTTCAGCACGTGATATGTGGCCATTTGCTGCACCTGATACAAGTAGGACAACTAAATGTATCTTTTGTCAAGAAACTATACATACGCGATGTATGGCAGGTAGCCTGGCACATGAGTTGTTCTTTGTATGTGTGTACAGAGAGGTATTGTCTTTAGGGTTGAACCGTTTGTACGGTCAGACAGCAACTGGTATTCACTGACGACTAAGATTTTGCGACCGAATTATCGTCATTTGAATTAACTAAACAAGCTCAGATTTAGTACGTTTCTGTGTAATTTGTCTGTACGCATGCACTCTTCCGTATATGGATAGTTCTATGTTCTTTATACATGGGCATCGAGTGCACCTAATCTCGGGCCAGTTACTTCCGATAAATTCACCTGAACACATTTCTGATACGAGCGTGTATAGTCATGCATGAAAACATTCAATACGTCTATGCCCGAGTATACATACGCATTTGCTGTTGTCCACTGAGACCACATTCAAGCTCAGACATACGCTTCAGCACAACCTGTGATCCGAAGTGATTGAACCTTGGTTTACCACGTGCATGTTCGCAAGATACTATCTCGTGTAACATCCACGCATGCGCACTGAGTACCAATCCTATCTCTGCCGTCGTGTAGGTAAGACCATGCTGGCCAAGGCTGTCGCTGCTGAATCAGGCGCCAACTTCCTGTCGTTTTCGATGTCCGATCTGATGGAGATGTGGGTGGGACAGAGCGAGAAACACATCAAGGCCGTGTTTACGTTAGCGTATGTACTCGTGTGCTGTGCATGCATCTATTATATTTCTGTATGTAGTTCTGGTTGTGCCTATGTGCCTGTGTCTGTGTCTGTGTATATAGAATGTTCCCATATACATGTGGATGTATGTTTGTTTATATAAGTATGTGCATTCGTGTGTATGTATGTATGTATGTATATATGTATGTATACATATATATATATATTTATATATAACATGTATGTATGTATGTATGCACTTATTTTTGTATGGGTATGTAGGTATAGGTGGTCACAGCACACACACTCCACTTTCATTATATAGTGTATTGTGCTTCATTTGTTCGTATGCGTGTTGTAGATCGTCTATATGTATATATACATGAATTCATTATATGAATATATACATGAGTGCAGACTTCCATATTAGTGTGTGTATATGTGGAGATACTGGTGTGTTCATGCATCCCCTCGTAACGTATACTAGGTAGGCGTTTCAACGCTTCAAAATATATGTGTGCAGTTTTCTATGGCTGGCCATTGTACCGTTTCTACTGTAAATTCTGTACCTTTGGGCCTGGAACAGATCCAGAATTTATTTTGGGTTTTGATTTTGGGTTTAGCCTGTCGTTGTTATTGCGTTGTGTTTTTATTCTTCGCACATACATACGAGAATGACGCACACACGCAGAGTCGCCCGGAGGTTCTGCTCAGATAAATCCAAGAGTACAAGTACACTTACAAACAGGCATATTCTTATCTGCAACGCACACACGTACCTCCATACAACGTACACACATGGCTACATACAAGTATGCTGGGGCCAGCATGCTCATCATACTTTTGCTTATGCTTCGCTCATACTTAGGAGGAAAGTGGCGCCTTGTGTGATCTTCCTGGACGAGGTCGATAGCTTATTCACATCACGTGACACCCCTGGGTCGTCTGTGCGGAGAGAGGCCCTCAACGAATTCATGCAGGAGTGGGACGGGTATGCATGATATATATATATATATGTGTGTGTGTATATTTGTGTATACTTCCGTTGTGCTCAAATGTTTGCGTACGTGGGCGTGTAAATGTATGGATATAGAGCCTATGCAAGAGACGAATCGGTTAGTATGTCCGTATATGCGTGCACTACTAGCTTAGCCTCGGCTGATCACTATACCTGGGTGTGTACATGCACGTGCATGCATATCTACAGTATAGAATTGTATAGAATTGTAGTACTTCCAGTATTGGTTGGTTACGTTCCGAGATTATGCTGACCCACAGTACTTTGGGAAGTCGATTGGTTTGGGTATATGTCTGTTATGGGCATGTATATACCGCTACTACCTACTCGGCGTGTCATACACCTGGGCGTTGTGAAGGATACTGTGTATGCGTAGATTATAATGCGCCTCGATATGGACGTCTTATGTATCTTCCGCACGGAATTAAAATATGATTGATTGTCAGAGACCCGTCTATACGAGAGTGTACGTACGCACCCACTGTTTACCAACAGACCCGTCTATACAAGAGTGTACGTACGCACCCACTGTTTACCAACAGACCCGTCTACATAAGAGTGTACGTACGCACCCACTGTTTACCAACAGACCCGTCTATATAAGAGAGTACGTACGCACCCTCTGCTTACCAACAGACCCGTCTATATACGCGAGTACGTACGCACCCTCTGTTTACCAACAGACCCGTCTATATACCAGAGTACGTACGCACCCTCTGTTTACCAACAGTCACGTCTATATAGGAGAGTGCGTACGCACCGTCTGTTTACCAACACACCCGTCTATATAAGAGAGTACGTACGCACCTTCTGTTTACCGAGTGCGGTGGTTATGTGGAAGGTCGTGCACTGCAGTATTCAGTTCCCTCATCCGCGCTGTTGGTGATGGTGGTATCTGCGTAGCGCTTATCTCAGGCACTATAAAAAACACCCCCCCCCCCGTGTCGCATATCGGAGGCATGTCGCTAATTCATCTTTATTTGTCCATCCCCACAGTCTGAAGTCGCACGGTGGACGCGTAACCGTCATGGCAGCCACCAATCGACCGTTTGATCTTGATGACGCAGTGATCAGGCGAATGCCGCGCCGAATCATGGTGGACTTGCCAGACGAGTCAGGGCGTGAGATGATTCTGAAGGTACGCCTCGCGCGTGTGCATACAGCCCACGTGTTTGTATATTGTTGTTTGTCACTCGCGTGTACATACAGCCCACGTGTTTGTTTATTGTGGTTAACTACTCGCGTGTACATACAGCCCAAGTGTTTGTATATTGTGGTTAGTCACTCTCGTGTGCATACAG